CATCAGAACATAAGCTCACTGGATCTCACTAGACTCAATTAAGGGAAGGGGAATAATGTCTTATACAAAAATGGCTGCTATGTAGAAGAACTTTAGAAGGAAAAAAAGAGACACAGTTACTAATTACGTGGCTATCATCCATGTAAGATTAAGATCATAGATTCAGATCATAGTGGCTTTCGCAAGTTTTGTAGCAGTAGAAATGGTAAAAAGTATCAGATACAGAATCTAAAAGACTATTAATGAACTAAACCAAGAGATAGGGGAGAAACAATAAAATGGTTGAAGACCCAGTAGCAAGAGGGCATAGAGCACATTAATATATTTAAGGAGCTAAAAGACAGCCAGCATACCTGCCTTGCAGACCAAGGAAGAAAGTGGTGTACAGATGAGACTAAAAATATGTCACGGCCAGACCATGAAAACTCATGCTGGCAGCGATAATAAAGACTTTGATACCTATGCTAAGAGCAATGGAAAACCAATACAATGTTTTACGTAAGTCGAGTGGCATGACTACATCTGTCTTTTTAAAATCTCACTTTTGGCTGGAGTGTGGAAAAACAGATTGGAAGGCAGGAGTGGGTACAAGAGTAAGAGTTAGAAGCCCAAAGTAGGAGTCTGCATAGAAGACAACAACTGGGGAGGTGGTGTTAGAAAGAGTTACATGAAAAGTATCTCGGAGATAAAATTCACAGGACTTGATGTAATAAATACAAGGAGGAGATGACAAGGAGGTTCACGTTTCTGGCGTTCGCCCTGAATGTGCCTGGAGAATAAACACTGATGCCGGGACAGCCAATGCGCGCCAGGGGTCCTGAGCAGCGCTGTGTGATCCTGCATGCTGTGCCAGGAAGGCTAGGCCCTCGCTGCTCTTTACCCAGACCATTTCTCACATCTGTGTCTGCAGCAAGCAATTCTGACAGATGCGGTAGTGTCTCCCTGTGGAAAAAAAAAGCAGGCCTATTTCTGCTTACTACAGAAACAGTCAATTCCCCAAGCTAGAGTCCGTTTCCTATAATCACAGCCCACTGTGTGTGCAGGAATCTATGATGGGCCCTTTGCCAATTATGATCAAAGATGCAAAACTGCTAAAAAAAAATGAGCAAATCAAATCCAGGTATTTCAAAGACAATGTGATAAAATATTTGCAGAGTTTAAATGTATATACCCTTTCACAAAGCAACTGCGCCTCTAGTAATCTATCTTACAAAATATTCATGCATGTGCCTGCAAACATAAGTGTGTACGAATGTTAATCACAGTCATGTTTGTAGTTGCATAAATTAGGAAAAAAGTCAGTGTCCATCAAGTGGGGATCAGTTAACTATGGAGCATTAATACTACAAAATCTTATGTAGCAATTATATATATATATATATATATATATATATATATGTGTGTGTGTGTATCTCAACAAGACAAGATCTTCAAGACACTTTTTTTTAATTTACTTTTTATTATTATTAGTTTCAGGTGTACAAAACAATGCAATAGTTATCCTTTTCGCCCCTCACAAAGTAACAACTCCCCTTCCCCATCTACTGCCCTCCCACCCCCGATATCATATTTATCTATTACAATTCCATTGACTCCATTCCCACACTCTACTCCACATCCTGTGACTATATGTATATATAACTATAGTTGACATACAGTATTATTCAACATCAGCTTCAGACACACAGTGCAGTGGTCAGGCCTCCACACCATCTATGAAGTGGTCTCCCTAACAAGACAAGAGTCCATCCGGCCTCCTAAAAAATATTTACATTATTGTTTATATTCCCCAGACTGTCTTTTCTATCCCTGAGGCCATATTGTACTTATCAATTTGTATTGTCTCATCCCTTCCCCTTCTCCTTCATCCCCACCCCCTCCCAACTAGCAGCCCTGTTTTTCCTCTGTGTCTCTGAGACTATTTCTGCTTACATTTC